CTCCCGCATCCCCCGCCACGGCGGCGCCGGCGACCTCGGCGCCGGGCCCGACCACCAGCCCCGCCTCACCAGACAGCACCGCCTGCGCCATGTCGACGACATCGAGGTCGGGGTCTCCGCGCTCCGCCTCGACGACTCGCACGCCGCCCCGCCCTCCTCCTCCTCCTACCCCGCCAGGAGGGACGCGGTCTGGTCCGGCCTCGCCACCGCCAGCTCCACGCCGATCTCGAGGTCGCCGAGTAACATGATGGAGGCGGCGCCGGCCAGGTCGTCCTCCACGCCCATGCTGCTGCCTCACCCCCTGCCGCTGCCCCACCAGGACGACTCGCCGTGCCGAGGGCCTGGGAGGCCGCTCCCCTCCCCGAGGATGTTCGACGGGGATTGCAACGGATCGGCCGAGTTCCTAGTGGCTGCAGAGACTGGAGGCGAGAGGCCGTCCACGTTTCCAAGGTGGGGATGCATTTTTTGTGTTTTGTACTAGTAGATGCTTCAAGCTTCCTTCCTTTGCTGTTCAAGTTTGTATAAACGGCGTAACCTTGTTAGTTCTGTTTTAGTACCGATGAATCGATTAGGGTGTTAGCAACGATGCCACTAGCAGTGATTTCTGAATGAGGTTGGGGTTACCAACAATATGGGCATATAAGAAGGCATGACACATGACACTATATACTAAAACTGCCACACTAGTAGCATTTTGACCACTTTGTAGGGCAGAATGTTGTGAGGTTGGTGAGAACAGTTTAGGTGAACAATAAGATGACCAGGGATTGAGAGACCAGGGAAGATGGCCTTTGATATAGTCTAACCATGTTGACGATCTGAAATGGATTAGGGCTTCAGACATACATTGCTGCATAGTTGCATTCTACCAAGAGGGTTTTGTGCTTTCTGTGAACTTATTAGCTTATGACTAGGAGATCATAGCACCTTAGCGAAATTTGGATGATATGTCACGAAGAGTTATTGTGGTTTTGGACCCCCAGAACGAGTTGAGACAATTTGCTGTTTGGTGCTATGATACCCCATAACATTTATACTTGATGATGCTTGGTTAAGCTACTTGCCAATTTATTAGATCTTGACATGAAAGGAAAAGCTGGCTCAGATTGTGATTTTACTGATGAGTGACTGAGATTGTTTCAGTACTGAAGTCAGTGAAGTGTAATTTGCTTTGATTAACTTCCACGAAGCTGCTAGTAAAGAAGATTCAACATGAACATGATTATTAAAAAACAAATCTGTTGTCATGCCACACTGATCAGATTAACTCGACCATATCTGACCATGTTTCTGATGTTAATGTCTCTGGTGATAGATTTATGCCCCAAAGTGTTCAAAAGATTCATGAGCACAATGACTTACGGTCAGCTGGCACACATGGGGCCACCTGTGGCCAACGGAGAAAGACATATAAAGAGAAGTTCCAGGATGGCCCAACTGAAACTTTGAACTTTAGGTTGAATATTCCTGCTAAAAGTGCCCCGAGCAGCGGGTTTTCAAGTCCTGTACAGAGTCCTCGAAGGTTGAGTAATGTAGACTTCTCATCTGCTGCAATATCCATCCAAGGTAGCAATATATTGTCAGCACCATCACCATGGTCTTCAGATCAATCAGGATCTTCACCCCCTTCCACCTCACCTGAAAAATTTGTGGGTGGCCAGGAGCGATCTCCTCGGTCTAGTCCTTTGAGAAGTCCTGCTCTTAGATCAAGATACCCAAGTGCACCTCCATCACCAATGCATGCAAACTTCTTCCCAGAGAACCACACTTCTCGTTCTGAGAGCATTCCGAATGCCAATCTTCACCCATTACCTCTTCCTCCTGTTTCAATGAGCCCAAAGCAAACAAATTTTAGCCACCCATCAGTTCCAAAAGTTGAAACGCCCTCAATGGCTGGTCAGTGGCAAAAAAGGAAGCTCATCGGCAGTGGCACATATGGCTGTGTATATGAAGCTACCAATAGGTATGCTATATTCCATTTTTATTGTAGTAACCGCTTCTCTAAATTTTGAACATACCGTCACACCAACATACAGGCACACCGGAGCTCTTTGTGCCATGAAAGAGGTTAACATAATTCCTGATGACGCAAAATCAGTTGAGTCTCTGAAGCAATTGGAACAGGTTCGGCCATACTTGTGTTGATGTTTCTTATTTCTGCAGTATGGAGATCATTGGTCTTGTTCAATGTGATTGTTTAATGTTCTCTTTTCTTGTTGAGGATTAAGAAGCATATCTTTGCTTATGCTCACATTTGGTTTGCCTTGCATTTACTACTATACAATACTTAAGTATATGTAAAACTCTGACCGTACTTGTTCCATTTTTCTGGAACTTGGTTGGGCAATAACTGTACACCACTATTTTCTTATGCTATCCAAGGATCATGCAATTTTGCACGTTCTCTGATTGTCCATCACCTTTGTTTCAGGAAATTAAATTCCTTAGCCAATTTAAGCATGAAAACATAGTGCAGTACTACGGCAGTGAAACTGTAAGTTCTACTTGCCCACAGTGAGGGAATTAACAGTGCTATATACTTTTGCTATTGATGGTGATGTGGACATATTGCAGACTGAAGATAGATTCTACATATACCTGGAATATGTTCATCCGGGTTCAATTAATAAGTACATTAGTCAACATTGTGGTGCAATGACAGAATCAGTTGTCCGCAACTTCACTCGCCATATCCTTAACGGTCTTGCTTTCCTACATAGCCAAAAAATTATGCATAGGTAATTTTTCTTTTTCATTATTTGTTTTTTATTTGATAATTGTTTGCCACTGGCCGTTTCCTAACTTTCTGAACCTTACCTTTGTTCAATTGTTTACATTACCTCTTGTTTTCCCCTTATACAAATTGTCAGACTGCTTGGTCCTATTTTGCCCTTCCAACTTTATTCTGCATTCAGTTCATTTTGTTTTCTTGAGCTTCTTGTACAGCTCTATCCACATCTTAAGGGCTGATTCTGATCCCACTATTGTCTGTTAGCAAGTATTGGTTGGCTAAAATGACACATGGATGATGGATGTAGATAAAATTATTATACTTTTGCAGGGACATTAAAGGAGCAAATTTGCTTGTTGATGTCAATGGCGTGGTTAAATTGGCAGACTTTGGAATGGCTAAGCATGTGAGTTCCACTTTGCGTCTTGGCTTATAATTTCTGACAGCATCAGCACTTTGCACATAAGTACTCAGTAGTCACTTTGAGAAGGATTAGACACAGATGAACATTTGCCTATCTTTAATTTTACGTCACATTATGACTACCTGAGCATTATGTATGCCATAAGCTGTTAAGCGTAATTTTGACATTTGATATGAGTACTTGGTAAAACATTTCAATATTTCTTAGTTGGATTGGACTATTGGTTATTATTTCGAACTAGTTTGATACTTTGATACGACATTAACTTTGGTATTCCTTACTTCTATAGTTATATTTTTAGTGCATACTCTGAGAGGCAATGAATTTACTATTACACAGTTTATTTTTCTATTGGACTTGTGATTTCAGGTTTTCCTTATTTGCCATGGTGCTACTTTTCTAATTAATTTCCTTGACTGTTTCTTCTTCTTTTCAGTTGAGCACTGCAGCTCCAAATCTTTCACTGAAAGGAACACCATACTGGATGGCCCCTGAGGTGCGAACTAGTTAGTCTTTATATTAATCATTGTTTTTCTTTTTCGTGATCGTGCCAAGGTTAATTTCTTCAAGCGTAGTAGGCATTGTTTTTTTACTGACGTGCAGAAAATACTTGTGCATTCTAATTTGTTGACACCAGCCAAAGTAAATTGCATCACAGTTTCTGTTTCCTGGACTGGCTGGCCATTCTTCTTTCCTCGGCCAGCACCAAGGTGCTCCTGAACGGCAAGCCCGGCCCGGCCATTTGGCACTGATGCGGGTTTCGACAGGGCGATCCCCTCCCTCCCCAGCTATTCGTCCTAGCGGTCGACACGCTTGGCCGCCTCCTACGCCGCGCTATCGAGCTGGGCATCCTGCAACAGCTTCACCCCCGGTGACCAATCCCCGCCGTATCGCTATGTGCGACATCCTGGCGGTTCAAGCAATCCTGTAGCTCTTTGGACGTGCCTCGGGCCTCCGGTTGAACTTCCTAAAGAGTTCGTCCACCCTTATTGGCTGCGATGACGACGAGGTGGCGCCCGTCATCGGGTTGCTTGGCTGCCCCATTGTGGACTTGCCGATCACCTACGTTGGCATCCCATCGACGATCAGGCGGCCCCTCCGCAGCTCAACTTCAGCCCGTGGTCGACAAAACCGCCGGCATGCTCCCTATGTGGAAGGCGCGGCTCATGAACAAGGCCAGCCGCCTCGCGTTTGTCAAGGCCGTGCTCAGCGCAATCCCTATCCATCAGCTGCTGGTGCTAGCACCTCCGAAGAGGATCATCAAGGCGCTCGAGAAAATCCAGAGGGGATTCCTTTGGGCTGGACGCGCGGAAGCCGCAATTGCCACGTTAACTGGTGGCGCGTCGCTCGCCCGATCTCGCTTGGAGGACTAGGCGTCCACAACCTCGAGCGGACCGGCCTCGTGCTACGCACATGTTGGCTGTGGCTAAGCCGCACTGACAACACCAGAGCTTGGAGCGGCCTTGATCTACAGTTCTCCGATGACGAGCGTGCCTTCTTCTTCGCCTCGACAACCATGCAAATCGGAAATGGCGTGCAGGCCTTGTTCTGGGATGACCGCTGGATCGCAGGCCGCTCGGTCCGCAAGATCGCGCCATGGCTATACTCCTGCATCCCAAAGTGCCGCCGAAAACCGCGGATGGTTGCGGACGGCCTTCGGGCTAACCGTTGGGCGCATGACATCCAGGGCACCATCGGTATACAGGAGATCGGCGAATACCTACAGCTATGGCACCTGATCGAGCACACGACGCTTTCTGCCGAGCCGGATTGCCTGAACTGGAAGTGGAGCTTGAAGGGCACCTACACTGCCCAGTCTGCCTACCTGGCCACATGCACGGATCCACCACCTGCGATGCCTGGAAGCTTACTTGGAAGTGCCGGGCACCGCCTCGCGTCCGATTCTTCCATTGGCTTGCTCATCTCGATCGGTGCTGGACTGCTGACCGCCTCGCCCGCCGCGGCCTGCAGCACCCCGCGTGCTGCTCGCTATGCGACCAGGCGCCGGAAACCATCCAACATCTCCTCGCCTGCCCATTCTCAGGGCAGATATGGTACAAGGTACTGTGCTGGTTGAGGGTACCCTGCAACCCGCTCGGCAGCGAGCCATCGATCAATTCTTGGTGGCTCTCCGCGAGGCAGCTCACGCCCAAGCCCATGCGCAAGGGCCTCGCCTCCGCGACCCTGCTCATACCCTGGATGATTTGGAAACACCGGAATGATTGTGTCTTCGAGAGAGCCAGCCCCTCAATTGCTGCACTGATGACCAAGATCAAGGAGGAGGTGGCCCTCTGGGCCAGAGCCGGAGCGCTGGGGCTTCTTGGCCTCACCCCCCAAACCTGGGATGTACACTGATTTCGCGCTTTTGCATTGTATGATTGCCTCCTAGGAGGATTGTAACCCAAACTCCCGCCTTTTCAATGAAATGAAACACAAAGGTCTTTCACGTTTTCTCGAAAAATGTAATGCATTAGTCCACTGCACTACTCAAGAACACATATAAAGCAGTTAAGCCTGTTTCGGCGAGGCTCATGCTCATCGAAAGCTTCCAGGTTGTAGCTGGGTCTGTTAGATCAAATAGGGCTACCTCCAATCTTAGGCTTCTTCAGTTGGAGCTAGAATCACCTTTTTGCATACCAAAAACACATATAGGGGGCCTTGAATTGTTCCATCCATTTCACATTTTGCTTAGAAAAGAACTATCGGAAGATGATCCTTTGATAGTCCCACCCAACTGGGCATTTCAATAAGGTTTGTTTGATCCATCTATAACCCAACAATGGGATTTGTCCTATATACATTCATCCCAGTCCCAAAACTAGTGGCTACCTAGTACCCATAACTCCGAAGTCAATGGAAATGCAGCACTCGGTTCAGTTCCGGCACCCTCGCTGCCTTTCCTCTGCCATGTAGGATTGACACGCCTACTCCATTCCTCATGTTGGATGTCGTGATGTTGTTTCCAAGAAATAAAGGATGATGGTGACGGCATCACACTCCTCCATCCACCTTTACCTGGGTCTCCTTCACACTTCCCTTTGATGCTGGATCGCAATCGCTACTGCCTCTTCTGAGTCAGATTTGGGCACCACCAGGAGGATTCAGAAGGAACTCAATGGTGGAATCTTCAATCATGAGTTCCACAATCTTCAACACATACGGCAATATCAAGGATAAGTACAGGTTGTTGTTGGCTGTCGGAGCCAGCTAAGAGTCTGATGGATTAAATCTTCTGTTTAGTGAGGAGGTCGTTTTTTTTTGTCTCTGTAGTTTCCTCTCTCTAGGTTCTGTATAAGGGAGGTCGTTTTCATATATTGGGTCTGTAAACTCTTTCTTGCTTAATATATTCACGTGCAGCTCTCCTGCATGTTCATGAAAAGATTTGGGAACCACCATGGCTGTGTAGATAGTCACTATTAATGGAGCTTCTGTTATGACGTATGCTTGTTTGCTTCTCTTCTCACTCCCTCAGCCTTGAGGTCACCGCGGTCGATATGCAGCTTCACCCTTGCAAATAGGCTGTAAATACTCTCTTAAGAGAAATTTAACCCAGGGGCCTACCGTCTTTTCTTGTGAGTAATTAACTGAAACTAGCTCAAAACCTCCTGAAACTTTGTCAAAACTTTATGAAAACTACATGATAGATCAATTCCAGGGATCTGAAACTTGCTGAAATCCACATGACACTTGGTACCCTGTTGTAAGTTTTGAAACCCATGTGTTAGAACTTTGTTCTGAAGCCTGAAACATTCTTGTAACACAGTAGCAAAACCTGAAACCAAAAACGTGGTTAAAGGGGAATGGATCCCTCCCTTTCTGCGGATTTCATGCAGATAGCACCCCACGGGTTCAAACGCGTGTCGGTGAGTTTACCACCGTAAACTCCCACCACCGAGCTAGCGCTCAGTTCTCGTGAAAACCTGAAACCTGAGTTTGTTGATACATGAAACTTGTTGAAAGCTTGCTGCTGAAACTGAATTGTTACTGAACCATGAAGCTTGACTCCTAAAGGAATGACGCTTTAGTGCAGTCATCGTCTCATTGCGCATGAGGAAGACCAACATGGTTATAGCCTGTGCTGCGCTAATGGCATGTGAAAACACCTTGATAAGGTCATAACTCTTGAGTCTAGGCTGCTAGAGGTGGACGTCACACTGACAATGCCAGCAAGGTACTTACAGCATATTCCCCTGGGCCTGCATTGAAGCCATGACAAGGTCTCAACCGTTAATATGTGCAGGTGGATGATTTTGGGAGTAAAGCACTCGAGATGGTGTGAGTTCGGTTCTCTGATTAGGTTTGACCAAGTGGTTGATACCTATCCTGTCTAGCCATGCCAATAATTTTAACATTTAAGGTTGAACTGCATTTGCGCAATGTAAAATAATGACTTCTCAAGCAGAGAAACTGTGTGTAGCCCACCAAACATGCTTACATCCATTTCATGTAGTTTTCCTGTGGACATGGCGCTCTGGAAAGAAAAGCAGATGTTCCAAATTCTCAAAAGCGATTCATGCATTTAATGGAACTTTATTTTCATGCAATGTGTTTGCTACAGCACCTAAGAGAGCTGATTTCTCGAACATTCAGCCTGCCTAAGGTATTATAATTTCCATAAAATGACGCCGATAACTTAAACATGTGAAAATATGCTCAAGGGATGCTTATCATCCCACATAGATTAGATTTTGTGACGACCTTTACTAACTTTATATGTCTCGAAATTAAGAAAGAACATCCACTTAACATCCTTAAACTACAGAAGTTCACGTTTGAACCTTAAATTCGTAAACCGTTTATTTCCGGTCTTCAACCCTGAACTATCGTTAAGGGGTAAAAAAAACACCGATTTCACAATTTAGGATTGAAATAAGCAGTTTACAAGTTCAAAGTGAAATGTGAACTTGTGTCTTGTGCAGTAGTTCAAGATTGCAACGTGGACTTCTTTTTCTTCTAAACCTGATAGCATTTTTGGTCTGCAATCTTGCTTGATATGAAATCATTTAGTTTGAATGGACATTTTACTGTAAAATCACATCATTGGGCATACTGCCAAGTTGGCATTTAGATTTACATATTTTTGGTTTTGCCTTTTGGTTTGTTTCATAGAGCTGTAAGCTGCATCTCATTGGTCATTGCTATATGGCACAGTCACACTTGCGCATTTGTATCCCAGGTTGTCCAGGCTACACTTGTCAAAGATGTAGGCTACGATCTTGCCGTTGATATCTGGAGCCTCGGTTGCACAATTATTGAGATGTTCACCGGCAAGCCTCCTTGGAGTGGTCTTGAAGGGGTAAATAATTCAAACCTTTCTCCGTTTTGTAAAATCAGGATGTGTTGTATGAGTTGGGTTTACGTAATTAGGGTAGCTCACTTCTCACTAGTTACTCCACCGTCCCATAATATAAGACGTTTTTGCAAGCTGTTTTAGCTTGCAAAAACATCTTATATTGTGGGACGGAGGGAGTAATTTTGTGTATGAATGATGATAATTGCCACACATTGGCACATTGGCCTAAATAAGATTGCAAATGGAGAAGTAATGTACTCCGTTTTTTATTTATTCTGCATATTAGGTTTTTCTAAAGTCAAACTTTACAAACTCTAAAGAAAAATATTAACATATACAATACCAAATCAATACCATTAGATTCACCATTGAATATATTTTCACATCATATAGATTTTTTGCTGTAAATGTTCATATTGTTTTCTATTAACTTGGTCAAACTTTATAAAGTTTGACTTCAGTCAAAGTTAATATGCGGACTAAATAAAAACGGGGGGAGTATGTCAACATTTGGGTATTTCCCTTCCCTGTCTTGGGATTCTGAGCATGTAATCTGCTTTTCTGTGGTGCAACAGCCTGCTGCAATGTTTAAGGTGTTGAATAAAGACCCACCAATTCCAGATAATTTATCATCAGAAGGGAAGGATTTTCTGAAAGGCTGCTTCAAGAGAACCCCGTCTGAGAGACCTACAGCAAGCAAGCTGCTGGAACACCCATTCATCCAAAATTCAAATCACTTCAGCCAGCACGTTTCTGTACATTCTCCTGCAGGAAATAAATCCCCAGTAAGCTTCCCTCAGTTAATGTATCCACTTGAGTTTCGATATTTGCATGGACATTCATGACTTTTAGTGTTAATGCCAGGATGCTGGACACTGTTCAAGAGAAAAGAAGTCCTGGAAGACCGAGCCTTGTGTGAGAGGGAAACAGGCAAATACAAATGGGTGTGTACTTTCTTCACACTTCTCTGTCTGTAATTTGGTGTTTGATCTGTCCATGAAAGGTTTGCACTGTTACAGATCTTGACCTTGTTATTGTTTTATTGCCTTCTCCGACCAGTGAAACAAGCAGCTCTAGATGTTCTGGGTCATTGGGTCATCATCGTTTGACGGCTCCAACCTCCTTGGATACCCATAGCTTGTCCCCTCCACCGACGAGTTATAAGTCTAGTTCTGGTTCTTCAGCTCATAATACACCGAACGGCATGCATTTTTCAATCGCATACCCTCAGCCCAGTCCACTACCGAGGCCTAACGGAAAGGAATCATTAAACATGTTTTCGTATTGAAGAAGGATGGGCAAACAGTCGTGTAAAGTATCGATGTAAAGAACGTCCCCTCAGTAATGATTGCAACGGGATATGTGTATGCTTATTTTCGGGGGAAATGTGGTGATCCCTTTGTAGCAAATTGTTTAGGGTTAGCTGTAGGTATAGCTAATGTTCCTGATTGTTGCCAGCACATAGGACATTAGGGTTGTAGTTGTAGCCTGTGTGGTGTTCATGTTGTAATCATGCCTCGATGTAATCATTTTTGATGATTTTTTGGCGGGGTCTTGAGTAATAATACGCGTGAATTGGCAACAGGAGATCAAGATAGACAATGTTTGTGTGTGCGCTCTCTGGGTTCAAAATTGGAATGTATGGTGTATTTTTCAGTGGTGGTAATTGCTTGCTCATTTGTTGTGGTCACGATGTCCATGCTGGTTATTCTCCCTTGGCTTGATGAGCTTATTTATCATCACCCGATGGGCTACTTGCAGTTTTTTTTTTCCGAAACGGAGGCAAAGATTGCCTCATCTATTAATTAAGCAGAAGAGAATTGCCCAGTTAATTACGGAAAACCGGGCAAAAACCGGAACAACAAGGGCCAAGCCCACTCCCATAAACTGAAACACACGGAGGTAAAGATTGCCTCATCTATTAATTAAGCAGAAGAGAATTGCCCAGTTAATTACAGAAAACCGGGCAAAAACCGGAACAACAAGGGCCAAGCCCACTCCCATAAACTGAAACACACAGGGCAAAGCCCACCCTCATCAACGACATGTCGACCTGCGGACAGACAACGCAGCTTCGATTCTGACGAAAAACTCAGAAGAACGAAACCAGGCACGGCCGGCGCCACGGAAGATCGCCGAAAGGCCACATGCAGCCAGTCATCATACACCACAGGGCCTCGCCGCCGCAGCTTCGACTCCATAGCAACAAACAAACCGAGGCAATACCGTGGACACGCCGAAGAAGAGCCGACTATTGCAACCATTGCCGCGTCGCCGACATCGCTCCCACCATCATCGTTGCCACAGAAGTCTGGACGCCACCGTGATTCTCTCGGGGCCGCCGCCCCGACATCCACCGCTCCGTCGCGCCCAGCGCAATCAACCGACACCACCTTCCGGGGCCGCCGCCCCGACATACCACCGCTCCGCTCGAGCAGCAACGCCGCACGACCCAGCTGCCCGCAGCCCTCGCTGCCCAGGGCAACCGCTCGCAGACCGCGAACGTCGCACCACATCCGGGGCCGCCGCCCCGACGCAAAGTCAGACCGTCCCCTCTGGAACGCGTCGACCGGACCGACAAGCCTGCCACCCAAGTGGCCCAAGATTGCCACCCAAGCAAGGCCGAGCCGTCACCCCGCCCCATGGAGCCGCCCCGCGCATCACTTTCCGAGGCCGCCGCCTCGGCGCACATCAGCCGTCCGGGGCCGCTGCCCCGGCATCCACCAAACCCGACGTAGGAGAAAACCAAACGCACCAAGCACAAGCTAACTCTCCCAAGCAACGCCCCCAAGAGGGAAACGACGAAGACGCCGCCGTCGCCCGCTCCAGAAATCTGGAGCTTAGGTTTTCACCCGGAGAGCCCGAGCCCCACGTAGAAGAAGATGAGTTCCACAGCGACGCCTCCAAGGAGGGAACGACGCCCGAAAGCGCCGCCGTCGACGGCACCGGCAAAGTCGGGTCAAGGCTTTCGCCCGGAACACACACATCTCTATGGAGGCCTGCAGATCTGATCCACCCAAAAGCGTGGAGATCATTGGAGCCGTTCCTGTTGCGCCTTGCACTCTCCAACGCCGACCACCAAGCTTCACCATGCAGCACCCACAGCAGCAGCACCTCAAGCTGCCAATGAGAAGCGAGCGCACAGGACACCACGGCCAAAATGCCATGGCTCCTAGCCCCGGGGCCGCCGCCCCGGCTTCCTCCTTGCGTCACGCCCGCCCTGCCCGGTGCCTCCCGAGCCGAACCACCTCCCGCCCGCGCGCCCGACGCGCGCCGCACACAAAGCCCGCGCGCATCCGCGCCTCCCCTTGACGGCGCCCTTGCTGGAGTGCCAGATCCCGCGCCCCCTCGGACCGCCCGCGCCGGAGCAAGCCCGCCGCCGCGCCGCGACACCCCTCGGACCGCCGGAGCTGCACCAGCCCGAGCCAGAGCCACGCCCGCGAGCCCGCCCAAGCCCGCCGCGCCCGCGCGCCAGATGCGCTCCCGCGCCTCGCAGAGAGAGGCCCTGCCGCCACCCTCCCTGGAGCCAGACCGGGCTTCGCCGGCGGTCTCCTCAGGCGGCGGCGAGGTGGGGGGGTGGAGGGAGGAGGGAAGGTGGCGGCGCCGGAGCGGTTCCCCCCGTGTCGCCAGGGAGAGGCGACGCGGGTATAAGTTCCAGGCAGTGAGGTTGACACGAAATAGCCTTGGCAGTGAGGTTGACATGATAATGATAAAATGATACGATGCCGCAGCATAGTTTTTTTTTTGGATATATATGATCTTACAGAACGAACGTTCTCCAGGTGTCTGTATCCCGTCTGGACACAAGACGAGACACGGCGAAGCGCACGAGACAGTGTGCTTCCATGTTGCATTCCATCGTCTCGTGGCGAAATTGAACAGAAGGGGAGGCTCTCGCCCGAGCCTTCGTCTCCAGAATCGCCTGACCATAGCGGCCGAGTCCATCTCCCTGTAGGTTTGGAACTAGTACTACGTACATACAAGCAGTCTGTCACATCGCATAACATAGTCAGGTTCAAGTCGCTCGCCAACGTCATGGATTCACGGCAAGCGATTGCCTCCAGCGTCTCGGGGTCGTCGAGTACCTGAAGCACCAATGCAAGGCCGAGGCTCCTAGGTATTGCCCTTGCTCGTCGCGCGCACCCATCGTCCATTCTTCCAGACTGCAGCATCAACATTCAGCTTAACAAAACACCCCCTCAAAAAAAGAAAGAAAAAAAAAGCTTCACAAAACCCTCCCGGAGGTGGTATCCATCGGTGTGCCGGCGCCGCTGATGGCCGGACCACAGCCGAGACCTTTTACGTGCTCTGCTGATTGTAGCTTCTTGGATAGAAAGTTATGCACAAAAGCATACGTCAGTGGAGGGCTCTGAAATGCTTCCTCGTGTATCACCTTCCGCCTTGCATACTAGATGGCCCAAAAGCGTCACACACATCTTCGTCAGTGCGCGTCAGTTAATTCGTGCTGTATGCGCGGGCCTCTTTTGCAGAGACACCTTGTACATACCGAGTACAATGTACACACATAAATATGGGTACTATCACGCCAACATTTTCGCAGAACACTCACTATCAACGAAAATGTTGCCTCCTGCTGGAAGAATAATCTGCCCATGTGACACATAGTCAATCCTAGTGTTTGATCCTTGGTGGACTGAGATACAATCACTCTTGCTTAATTAATAATTCATCCATTTTTATTTACTCCGCATGTTAGCTTTGTTCGAAGTCAAACTTTACAAACTTGGGCCAAGTTTATAGAGAAAAATGTTAACATATACAATACCAAATCAATACCATTAGATTCATCGTTAAATATATTTTCACATCATACAGATTTGTTATTGTAAATGTCCATATTGCTTTCTACAAACTTGGTTAAACTTTACAATGTTTGACTTCAGTCAACGGAGTAAATAAAAATGTAGGGAGTACTCACATCCAGATATTTCTTGTCTACCTGTCAATTGTCATACACATGTGACACCTGACTCAAATGTTACTCCCTCCGTTTGAAAATACTTGTCATCAAAATGGACAAAAAAAGATGTATCTAGAACTAAAATACATCTAGATACATCCCCTTTTATTCATTTTGATAACAAGTATTTTCGGACGGAGGGAGTACACCATAATTTTTAAAAAAATTTGTGTTAAGTTCATATACCCCTGAGCTTCTACGAGGTAGCATTGTCTTTTTTTTTTGGTAGGCGAGGTAGCATTGTCAGCGAGGAAGAGAATCACCGACGGGTCGTTAATCTTTGATACATCATTATGAGATATTGCGGAATTTACATTTTGTGTCACCAGTAGTATTATTCCTCTGCTTCCACCAACAATAATCAGCCGGAGAAAATACGAAGTCTACTCTGACATTATATCAGTCACATAATGCGTGTCTTCTGCAGCTCCTACAAAAACATGCCATGTGCTCTACTGAAAAAAACTTCCGTTCCCGGCACAGGTTCTGCTGATGTACAAAGTGCAGGACCTGTGAAGATCAAAGCCTGGTTTGCATTTGTGATTCTGAAGACATGCCGTCGAGTGACCGGAAGATTGCTTCTTCTTGGCTTCTTGCAAAGGAAGATTGCAAACTCTTGGGTACAGAAATTCTGTAACATCGTCAGTATTACATTAGTAAGCATGGATCGTTCTTAACAGTTCATTCTCTTTCAGAACGGTTAGATTTCGCCTCGTTGAGATGGAAATCAAGCGAGTCAAGTTCATCATGGATTTTTCTTTTTAAAAGAACAGGCTCATCACTGAGGGGTGATCCTCAGATCGATTCCGAAGCTCATGCCGCTGTAAGCGAGCGGCGCGTACATCCACATCTCGTCAGAACTCAGCACCTGATCATGAAGCAACCTTTCTGGTAAGAGACGTGACGATCACACAAAGTTCCTAGGAAAGAAAGGTCTAATACAACCATGACCATTATGCTGACCTTGATCTGTAGCTGCAAGAACTTGACGTAGAGGACTGCCTCCTCCAGCATAGTGCTGAGATCCACCTGTGAAGAAATTTCACAACAGTCAGAAAATACTGCTAATAACTAGCACAATCCGCAGTTCAGTTTGCTTCACAAAGTGGACAAAAGAGAATCGATTTACTACTTTGGTTCCGTTGGGCACCAGCTTCTGCAGGACTCGGAGTCTGTCGTTGATTCTCTCCCTTCTTCTCTGCATTGGACAGAACAAAACTCTGAACAAATCCTTGTATACACCCACCCACTGAAACGGTCGTATTGAATTGACCTGCGGGGCTGCACATGCATTGAGCTCACCTTCGCATAGAGGCTCTGGGGATCGGCCGCAGACCCGCGGCCGGCCCGCGCCTTCATGGTGCCGCCGCCGGCGACGTTGGCCTCCTCGGCGCGGTTCCCCTGGGAGCAATTGGACTCGTCCGAGAAGTAGCTGCTGCTAGGTCTCTGCTTCTGCACCGTCTTGCATGTTACAGACTTGATCCCCTGCATGGTCACGGCCAAACTGAATCAGCCTCGCCACGTTATGGCAAATAAACCCTGCGACTATGGCAGGATTACGCTGCGTTATTATGCCACATGCCTTGTGATCCGCAGCACGAGCCTTCTTCTTGTGCCGTCCGAGATCCCCTCCCTGATCATGGCCGGCCTGAAAAACCTTCCGCTTCGGCGTTGCGGCGGCACCGTCGCCATTGCGGTCGCTGAGGAGGTAGCCGGCGGGCGAAGGGACGGCACGCTTACTGATCCTCTCCTCCTCCTCCCCGGAGAGGTTGAGGTCGATGGTGGAGCTGCTGGACCCGCTGCCGCAGTAGGAGAGCGTGTTGATCCCGAGCGACACGTCGGGCTCGCCGAGGAAGTCGTAGCTGCAGCAGCCGCCGTCGAAGCACGGGTACGGCGCCGTCAGGAACTGCGCCACGATCTCCGACTCCTCCTCGTCCGGCGCGTGGTACGGCGACCACCGCGCGGCCTCCTGAGACCTGACGACAGCCGCCTGCTCCCGCGACATTATGCAGCGAGCACGTACTGCTGTCCAAGCGATCGAGGCGAATGGCGCGACGCAAGCACGGAACAACGGACGCTAGCTGCACTGCGACGTAGTGTAGGGAGTAGGGACTAGGTAGGTAGGGAGCATGTACGCAAGTGGCTGACGATGTGTACGTACGTGCTTATATATGGACGGCCGTTGGGATGAGCAGCTCAAAATTGTTTCTTGCACAGCTAAGGCTGCTAGTGCTGGGTGCAAGCTGGGGAACGGCAGATTGGGTCAGCAAAATATCAAAAGTCTCAAGAAAGAACACTAGTAGTAGTATACAAATACTGTGTACCATCTCGAAGAGGAAAATGGGAAATGATTGGTAAGATACTGAGATTTTTGTGACAACTGACAACACAGAAACATAGAAACATGGACTGAAACTGTGCTGAATTCGTGTGCGCCTGTGCGAGTGCGCGTCAGTTAATTCGTGCACTTAGATCTGAAACACCATTTACATGACCTGTATGGCTACCTTTTGATTTATCCTGTCCAAGAAAAAAGAAAAAAATGCGATGTTGCGATGAAATCTTCAAAGCGAGTTTTAATTTGTGTTACAACTGTCATATAGCTCGCCAGCCGCCGCGGATCGCCCCCTCGATCGCCTCTTGAGCCTCTCTAAAGTGATACACTATCAATAATCCGAATTAACAATGTGCTAACGAATGTTATATCTGCTAATGAGCTTGCAAGACTTGGGGTGCTAAATACTGTATAAAGGAGAGCTTTGAGGTGCAATTAGACAATCGTGGAGCTCCACAATTCGTCCGCTTGTTTTTCTTCCTTGTGAAAGTTTTAGCAGCTAGCAAGGCGCGTTATGCATGATATTCAGCATTGTTAAGTGCCAGTGTAGCTAGCTGTGGCCATTGGGCGTTGCAAGCACGTCCAAACTTGTTAAACAACAAAGCGCGTCCACATGTTGACAGTCTTGCAAGCTGCAGCGCTGGAGACTGCATAGCTGTCACAGTATATGGTTTGATTTTCTTTTCGACTAATTGGTCGTAGGCTGGCCGTAGCCACCAGCATTACTGGCGTGTAAGTATCTATGATTACATGCTGTATGCACTTTTTTTTAGAGTCACGGGAGACCGCCACGGACGCCCGCCTGCTCCATCACTTGATTGAAACAGGATACGGAGTTCAAAGGAAATGACAGTAAAACAAACGCTTATGACGGCGGCCTCGTTGCTAGAGCCAGCGGTTGAGACTGTCGGGGAGGGGTTACTACTCCACCAGCATCCCCTCCTCCGGCAGCAGAGCCGACGCCACGGCCACAGCTAGGGGTGACTCCTACACGCTGAAGTTGTCGGCATTCGGTTGCCGACGACGGTTCAGATGATGGCGCCTTGGCTAAGGCTATGCAGCGTAAAGCAGCGCACAACCTTGACAACCAAGGTATTACGTCGTCACCCAAATCCTTTCTAGCCTTTTCTAACACTGTCATCGTTTCTAAGTTAAATAATGTGGGTGTTAGTCTTGAAAAGAGTGAGAAGGATATTTCTATTTCAACTAACGCTTTGAAATACTTCGAATATACCGATTAAAAGTTACTCCACGTGTTTCTAGCAAGCCTTATGCCTCCCGTACCGATGAGGAGGAGCTGCATATGCCTCATCAGATGGTCAGCTACTCTCTCCTTTAGTAGGAGCGGTTTCAGACGTGGGTTTAGATGAACCCGTGCTTAGTTCATTGATTGAGCTTACAACATTCGGACGTAAATCAAAGACCGCACGTTGAAAAAAAGTTAGTAAATCCCATAAGAGGGCGAAGTGTTCTAAATCTCCTATTGTTTCCTCATGAATGGAATGTTTTTTAATAGCAGAGGTCTTCATGACTTGGCTAAACATTTATTCATTGCGGAATGTAATCGGGAATACAATTTAGATTTTTTGGCTATCTCTGAAACGGAGAGACATGATTTCTCAGTGAGTCTGCTTAACTGTCTTTCAGGCGGGATAAAATTTACTTGGGTTTCACGACCGTCTAGAGGTCGTTCTGGGGGCATTTTACTTGGCGTAAATAGAAGGACTATGGATGTTTTGGCTAGTTCGGATGGTGAGTTTCACGTTAAACTCCATATTCGCAACAAGGCCGACAACTTCACATGGACCCTCGTCGCCGTGCATGGGGCAGCCCAGGATGAGTTCAAGGCCGAGTGTCGGTGTCAAAACGGACGGATCTCGGGTAGGGGTCCCGAACTATGGATCTAGGATCAATGGGTAACAGGAGACGAAGGACACGATATTTACCTAGGTTCGGGCCCTCTCGAAGAGGTAAAACCTTACGCCTTGCTTGATTATATTGATGGGTATATGATGTGTACAGGGTTGATCTACCACGAGATCGGATGAACTAAACCCTAGATGAATAGGATGGTTCTTCTTCTTCTTCTTCTTCTTCTTCTTCTTCTTCTTCTTCTTCTTCTTCTAGCCTCTACGGACTAAACCCTCTTGTTTATATAGGCACCAGGGATATCTAGGTTACACATAGTCAGTTGCTAATCATGGTATAGACACGCATACGCCATTGATATTGTCTTGAAGTGCACACCAGGTCTTCAGAGTTTTCCTCTCAGGACACGGGATAATCTGGAGCCCGGCCTTCCTTAATAGAATCTGGAATAGCCCACCAGTCCGGCCCACGAAAGATAGGCCGGCAGGCTGAGGACCCCCTTATCCAGGACACCCTCATTAGCCCCCGAACTAGTCTTCGAAGCCGAAGTATATGCAAAGGGTCATCAGCTTCGTAGACCAGTTCTCTTCGTCAAAAGGTTGCCTGAATTATCTTCGGCCATACACTCACAAAGCGACGTCATCGACCCTGGAGTGCTTACGTAACCTTAATCCTGAAGGCCAGCCTTCCCAATATAAAAGTGCCTTTATCTGACAACTTTTGGCAAAGGGTCACAACCAGTTGCTGCCACCGACCAGTTACAAAACTCAATACGTGGTTCAAGGCCGCTATTTCATTGGCACGTTCCATCAATATGGAGATCGTGCCCTGTTTTTAAGGGATATGATCAATGATTTGGGCTATCCCACTCGTGCATAACAACACAATTTTATTAGGAAGCGTGAAGTCTACGACGCAATAAAGGGACTGTTGGTATTACGCAACCCATAAAAGCAAAACAATCACCGTCTTCTCTGCATGCTTTCCCTTTCTCCCTCGCCGTTGCTTTCCCAATCTACTAAGCTGCAGCACCCTGACCCATCCCTTCCTAAGAATCCCTCCTAGCCATTTCCTCAATACGGCCATAGCGGGATCTGGTTCGAAAGGCAAGTGGGAGGCCTCCAACATCACCAACGACGACATTGAGGAGCTGCAACATGCTGGCTACCTCCCGACCAACGTCACCCACCGAGCTCTGGAAGAGGGCCAGGTCATCCCTACGCCCCGCTAGGCGAGAGGGTGATGTTCATCCCCCACTTTATCTAGGGGCTAGGCTTCCCGCTCCATCCCTTTGTCAGGGGGTTGATGTTCTTCTACGGGCTGGATTTCCACGATCTCGCCCCAAACTCCTTCTTGCATATTTCAGCCTTCATAGTTATTTGTGAGGCCTTTCTACGGGTCCAGCTACACTTCGGCTTGTAGCCGAAGATCTTTAATGTCAAGCCAAAGATAGTTGAGGGCTAGCAAGCGGACTGCCGGGGGGGAGGGGGGCGATGATCTGCAAGCTTCCTCGGGTCGAGTGGCCGGAAGGTACCTTTATAGATATCATCAAGATCTGGAAAGAGGAGTGGTTCTATATCACCGAACCACATGGCGCAGGTTGGGCAGCAGCTTCCGAATTCAGATTCGGACCTCCCACGAGGCTAACCTCCTGGACCAAGGAGAGCCTCACTTGGGGCTCCACCACAGAGGTGGAGTCTCTGCAGAAACGCATCTCCAGGATGATAAAGGCGAAGGTCAAGCTGACCAACATGATTCAAGTGATGCTTCGCCGCCACCTCTTTCCTTGCTAGCATCGGGCCGCTCCAATGTGGTCCTACAAGCCCAAAGACCCCGCCACTGTGCTCCGCTTCTATGGTACCACCCACGACTAGCTGTGGAAGGTGCTGTTCAAGTCCAAAAAGGATTGGCCAGACAAGGAGGAGGACATCGACTTCGACACCGCACACCCTCCTTGGGAGGTAACACAATTTTATCTTATATGTTCAGATTTTTGGCTTTTAACAAGGGACTTGACTCCTTCCTTCACCGCACTCACAGTGCTGGCTAAAGAAAGCCATGTAGATTAACAGCCCGACCCCACTGCCCGAGGGCCCCAGGATGGCCATGCCGGAGGAGATGTTGACCGTGGCACCATTTAAGGCACCAGAGAAGAAGGAGAAGGAAAGGCAAGAAAAGGGAGGCCCGGGAAGGCCTTCGCCCAAGGGGACCTCCAGACACCAGGTCCGAGGAAACCCAAACCCCCTCCGCTCATGAGGGGGAGCAAGAAGAGGATGGGGAGGAGAGCGACTCCTCCCGAACAAGAAAGAGGGTGGCGTCAGATGACGCAGAGGAGGATCTGCCTCCTCTTGCCCCGAAGAAGCAACGCAGGGCCAAGGTGGTCCTGTCCGACGATAGCTCGGACCCTGCAGAGGAGTCCGAGGCTTCGGAAGAGGTTCCATGCAGGAACCCTAAGGTCAAGCCTCCTACCCGAAGGTACATTTCTAAAGACATACCCCTGTAATTTTTAGCTGAATTAAGTCCGGCAATAATCACATGTCTGCTATTGATCCCGCAACCCGCCACGCGACCTCCCCACCGACTGAGATTCGGAGGGGGATTCTCCGCTAGCCGAGCTAGCGGAGAGCAGGACCGCGTCATGTACCACACATCCTCTGG